AATGTTTATTTATTTTGGGGAGAGAGACAGAATGCGAGCGGGGGAGGGGTAGAGAGAGAGGGAGACACAGAATCCGAAGCAGGCTCCAGGCTCTGAGCTGTCAGGACAGAGCCGGATGCGGGGCTCAGTCTCACCAACTGGCAAGATCATGACCTGAGCAGAAGTGGAACCTTAACCGAGTCACCCAGGAGTCCCAGTGGACGCAATTCTATGCACTGAAAAACTTTATCTTGAAATGCAACCCGTAGCACTTAGGAAGGGTTGGGCACCTGGGCGTCTCAGTCTGTTGAGCTACTGACCAGCTCAGGTCACGATCTCACGGTCTGTGAGTTCGAGCCCTGAGTCGGGCCCTATGCTGACAGCTCAGAGCCTGGAGCCTGCTTTGGGTTCTGTGCCTCCCTCTCTCTCTGCCCCTCTCCCGCTCATGCTCTGTCTCAGAAATAAACATTAAAAAAATTTTCTTTTAAAAGAAAGGTTTAAGGATTCCTGAGATGAAGGGCCTTGGAGAGGGTAGAGGCCACCCTATATTTGGCAAGTGTAGGGAGTGTAGAATGACCTTGAGCAGAGGGAAATTGCCAAGAGAAGGTGGGTTCATAACATTCTGGGCATTGGGAGCAGCAAGTTCAAAGGCTGGTGTCTCTGATGAACAGCGAAGAGGCAGGTGTGTCTGGAGGTGAAGGAGTCAGCGAGGAGGAGAGAAGGAAAGCGGAGGAGGTGTGCTAGGGCTTTGTGGACGGTGGTGAGGACTTCGATTTTACTGAGTACACTGGAGGAGTTTTGAAAGAATAGAGACGGCGCTGACTTAAGTTGTTAAAAGATCCCTCCAGCTGCCGGGTTGGGGAGGATTGCAAGAGGTGAGAGGGAAGCAAGGAGCTGTTTGCACGGGTCCAGTGACCTTGCAGCTCTGAGAATTCATTCTGGGCCCATTCAGCAGGGTGCCCGCTTCCAAGGAAACTCTCCACGCAAGTTAAATGTTACTATTACCAATGCCACCGTGATGCGTACTCTTGCTCAGCTACCTGCCTCAGAGTTCTCTGAGTGGGGCCCCCTGTGTGGGGCACATCCTGGGCCCCACATTCCAGGGATACCGACCTACTATGTCCGTCTGAGTCTGAGGACCTTTGAGTTAATTTAACTTAGTGAACATTTTTTTTTTGAACATTTCTGACAGCTAAAAATCCAAGCAATAATTCAAGCAAGAAGATAAAGAGTAAAAAATGCAGGTCTCCGCCACCTCTGGGGATCCCCAGTCTCCCTCCCCAGAAACAGTCACTGTTGGTAGTGGTTTTTTTTTTTTTTTTTAATGTTTATTTTTGAGAGAGAGAGAGAGAGACAGAGTGAGCAGGGGCAGGGGAGGGGCAGAGAGAGAGGGAGACACCGAACTGGAAGCAGGCTCCCGGCTCTGCACACTGCCAGCACAGAGCCCGACGCAGGGCTTGAACTCACCAACTGTGAGATCATGACCTGAGCCAAAGTGGGACGCCCAACCGACTGGGCCACCCAGGAGCCCCTGTCAGTGTTTGTCCCTGTGAGGAGTACATGCACACACCTAGGTCCTTTGCCCCCCCTCCCCCACTCACACACACACACACACACACACACACACACACATCATACTGTTTCAGATTCAAAGCCAGGTCCCATCGCTTCCGGTGGTGGGACCTTGAGGCAGGGATCTTACATTCTCAGCTATAAAATCAGAATCATCACCACTCTACCTGCATCATAGTGTTATAGTGAGGATGTCATGAGTTGATTCGTAGAAAGCACCTACAACCGTACCTAGGACATAGGAAACCTGACCATCCTTCTTTCCACTAGGTACTTCTTTTTACGTGGCTGCATAGTATTTCACTGGGAGAACAGGTCAACCGGGCCAGTCCCGCCTGATGAACACTGAGGTCCATCCATTCACGCGAACATCTTTACTGAGCCCCTACTGTGTGCGGAGTCCCGCGCTGGAGGCTGGCACAAGAAGGCCCTGGTACCAATTTCTCCGCCAAGACGCATGGCAGGTAGCAAAAGTCCCATGGTGCGAAAGGGTAACGGACACCGCCAGTGGCCTTCAAAAGGACTGCCCCGTTAGCGCACCCACCTTCCAGGGCTTGGCTGGAACCCGCACGTTTAGAATGGCAGGTTGGGGAACTGCCGCCTTTCTGGGGAAAGGTGCTGACGTGGGCCTCGGCGGGCGGTCGGCTGGGAAGCGACGGCCCCAGCGAGGCCCGCAGCGCGGCCACACCCCTGTGCGGGAGGGGAGCGAGGGCGCCCCGAAGGGAGTGGACAGCCCCCCTGTCAGTCTTCCCGAGTCGGGGAGTGTAAGATGAGAAGGGGGAAGGTGGGCCTCACCCTCGGGGAGAGCGAGGAGGAACTTCCTGCCCGCGCGCGCGCTCCTCGGTGCCGAGCGCACGGGCTGGGAGGCCGTAGGCGCGTCAAGGTCAGCCTGGACGGGGGTGGCTGCCTGCCTGGGGGCGGGAGACCCTCCCGGAGGGCTGGGCTGCGGCCTCCGAGCGCCTCGGCCATATTGAACAGCCACGGCTGAGTCGTCTTTGTCTGCGAAGTCCTCTCCCAAGCTGCAGGCGAGTCCCCGAGGCAGGAAGAGCCACGGGGCAGCCCGTGCGCCCCAACTCGGAGCCCGTGCACCGCGTTCGCAGCTGGCCGGTGGGCTTTGAGCCTCAGGACCCATCTCACCCCCGGCCCACGTAAGCATCCCCGGGGGTTGATTCCCGCCACTCCTTGGTGGGGAGCCGGACTTGACCAAGACTGGACTCGGTTGCGGGCAGAGAAGTTAGGAGGGGCTGGCTCCTCCTTGGCTGGAGAGGTGAGACCCTCCGGGCAGTTCGGCCGCGACCCCCCGCCCCCAAGACCCAGGCCTACTTGTAGTTTGGGGTCGTTGCCCCCACCCCAGCTTTCACCCTGGAGATCTTAAAGACCCTCGAGAAAAGCCACGTGGGGGGCTGGTTCCCCTGGGGCTTCCTCCCATCCCCCGACTGCCTGATCCTGTGGAGCGTCCCAGATGTCTGCAAAGACGTGGATCTGGATGTCCTCGTGGAAGCCTTGAAACCCGTGGGGACCTTTAAGAAGATTGGCAAGGTGTTCCGCAGGGAGGAGGACTCCACGGTGGGGATGCTGCAGATCGGGGAGGACGTCGACTATTTGCTCATCCCCCGGGAGGTCAGGCTGGCCGGGGGCGTGTGGAGGGTCATCTCCAAGCCGGCCACCAAGGAGGCCGAATTTCGGGAGCGGCTGACCCAGTTTCTGGAGGAAGAAGGCCGCACGCTGGAGGACGTGGCCCGCATCATCGAGAAGAGCACCCCACACCCGCCCCAGCCCCCCAAAAAGCCCAAGGAGCCCCGAGTGAGGAGGAGAGTCCCGCAAATGGTGACCCCTCCCCCGCGGCTGGTCGTGGGCACCTATGACAGCAGCAACGCCAGCGACAGCGAGTTCAGTGACTTCGAGACCTCCAGAGGCAAGGGTGACAAGGGTCACCACGGCCCGGGGCGCGGCAGGAGGGTGCGCAAAATGCCTGTCAGTTACCTGGGCAGCAAATTTCTGGGGAGCGACCTGGAAAGCGGGGATGACGAGGAACTGGTGGAGGCCTTCCTGCAGCGGGGGGAGAAGAAGCCCAGCGCGCCACCTGCCCGCCGCCGCGTGAACCTGCCGGTGCCCATGTTTGAGGACAACCCCAGGCCGCAGCTGTCCAAGGCGGACAGGTGGCGAGAGTACGTCAGCCAGGTGTCCTGGGGGAAGCTGAAGCGGAGGGTGAAGGGCTGGGCGCCGAGGTCCAGCCCCGAGGTGGGCGAGGCCCGGCAGGCCTCTCCCAGGGTGGAGAGGGACGGGGCATGGGCACCAGGCAGGGCCAGCCTGGGGGATAATATGGGCAACGCAGGAGGCGGCCAGGCGCCCGAGACTGCCCCAAGACGATGGAGGCCCAGAATCAACTGGGCCTCTTTCCGCCGTCGTAGGAGGGAGGAAGCAGCAGCATCCACAGTTCAGGTGGCAGAGGCTGCAGACGGTCAGAGGGTAGAGGCTGCAGACGATCAGAGGGCAGAGGCTGCAGACGATCAGAGGGCAGAGGCTGCAGACGATCAGGGGGCAGAGGCTGCAGACGATCAGAGGGCAGAGGCTGCAGACGATCAGGGGGCAGAGGCTGCAGGTAATCAGAGGGTGGAGGCTATAGCTAATCAGAGGGCAGAGGCCATACCCGTCCAGGGGGCAGAGGCCGAGGATAATCCCGGGGCAGAAGCCATAGCTGTCCAGAGGGCAGAGGCTGCAAATAATCGGAGGGAAGGGGCTGCAGATAATCAGAGGGCAGAGGCCCCAGTTGTCCAGGAAGCTGAAGCCTCAGCTGCCCGGGTGGCCACAGGGGCAACCCAGGGAGCTAGGGCCCGGAAACAGGTCAAGACAGTGAGGTTCCAGACTCCTGGACGTTTCTCATGGTTTCGCAGGCGGCGGAGAGCCTTCTGGCACACTCCTCGGTTGCCAACCCTGCCGGAGAGAGTCCCCAGGGCAGGCGAGGCCAGGAGCCTTAGGGTGTTGAGGGCAGAGGCCAGAGCAGAAGCGGAGCAGGGAGAACGCGAAGACCAGCTGTGAGGTGAGGGCAGGGGTGCCCCGGACCACACCGCCACCGGCCACGCTCTCGGCCTCGCAAGGCACGGTCCTCCTCTCCCGCACTTGGATGGAGACGCTCTTCCTGCCTCCGTACTTGAAAATGGAGGCTGGGGCGCCTGGGTGGCTCAGTCGGTTGGGCATCCGACTTCGGCTCAGGTCATGATCTCGCGGTTTGTGAGTTCGAGCCCCGCGTCGGGCTCTGTGCTGACAGCTCGGAGCCTGCTTCCGATTCTGTGTCTCCCTCTCTCTCTGCCCCTCCCCTGCTTGCGCTCTGTCTCTCAATAATAAATAAACGTTAAAAAAAATTAAAGAAAGAAAGAAAGAAAATGGAGGTGAAGCAACGGCCAGGCCGTGGACCTCCCCCCTCTACCCCACATCCCTCTTTCTTGTTAAAATTCGTTCATGCATTGAGTTTTTTTAAATACAGACTCTTTCTGGACACCCAAAGAATGTAAAGAAAGAGACCCATGGGGAAGAGTTGCATCACCTGTGATCTGAACTTGCTCATATGCAGCTTTAGGTGCTCGGCTTGAAAAAAAAAAAAGGGGGGGGGAAAGGCTGGGGAGAAATTCCCTCCCCTCCCCCTTCACCCTCTCCTTTCTGCCTGCGCACTTAGCATTGACGGCCTCCTTGAACTTAAAAAATGGGCGCAAGCCAACATGCAAATAAAAATGTTTACAAAGCGATGTTTTCCTGGCTTTGGACCTGGCCACTGAGGAATGCGCCAGGGTGATCTCGTCACTCCCTTGTGTCCCCTCCAGCCCCACCCTCTAAGATGGTGACCTGTGTTTATGTCGCTTTGCGGGCCATTCCCTCCCTTCCCCGCTGTGCCCCCTGGGTTCGGGCCCAGGGCCCGCAGTTCACACATTTCACCTGACCCTGGTTACAAGGTAGAGAAGAAAGGGACCGTGTCCAAAATTCAGATTCCGGGGCCCTTCACACCAGAGCTGCGGATTCGCTGAAGGTGGCTGTGTGGCCCAGGGATCTGTTTCCATTAAGCCCCACCAACATCCCCAGGGGCAGACTGGCCACAGGCCACATCGGAACCGCTTTGCAGGGCGCCTGGGTGGCTCAGTCCGTCAAGCGTCCTTGACTTCAGCTCAGGTCATGATCACGATGGCGCTTCGCGGGTTCGAGCCTCACGTCGGGCTCTGTGCCGACAGCTCGGAGCCCGGAGCCCGCTTTGGATTCTGTGTCTCCCTCGCTCTCTGCCCCTCCCCCGCTCGCGCTCTGTCTCTCAAAAATGAATATACGTTAAAAAAAACTCTTTGCAATAGAAACAGTCCAAAAAGCAGGATTGCGGCGTAGCACGTACTGGGCTGTGACTGGCGCTTATAATCAGGGAGAGATTGGGTTGCTAAGGCCCCGTGGGCACTGGCGGGCATCTCTCTGTGTCTCCCAACCCCAACTCCACCAGTGAAAACCAGCAAACGGCCACACCCCAGCCTAGCTGAAGGCCGGAGGAAAGGGAGGTCGTGGTGCAGGGAGGCCTGAAGGCCAGCCCTGTCCTGTGCCTGCACTCCTGGCCTGAGCTTCTCAGTTTTGTTTTGGAACTAAAGAATGACATGCTGTCACCTGCTCCCTCCCCGGAAGTGGTTCCTGCTAAGAGGCCCTTTGCACCTGTGGGGTTTGGAAGAAAGACAGGGTGTGGACCCCACTGGGAGGGATGGACTTGGCTGCGGGCGAGGGAATAACCAGGCTGGACCCGGCCATTCCAGGAGTGCCCAGCCTTCCGGCATCCAGGTGGTGGTGGCCTGGGGTCTGTGACTGCTGCCCATCTGTGAGAACAGCAGCCATGTGACCACAGGGGGCCTAGCCGGGTTGGGTTGCCGGAAGGTGACAGAAGGTGGGAGCAGAGATTGCCAGAGACACCAGGAGAGTCTCAGGGGTCTGGGGCAAAGCCAAACACCCACCGATTCTCGGTTTGTCGCTTGCACCCCAGCGTTAGAGGCACGAGCATACATCAAGACCCGGAAAGCAGAGGTCCGTGGGGTTACCTGAAATTCTACCAGGGTTTTTATACTATTTTTTTTAAGCTTATTTATTTTGAGAGAGAGAGCGTGCACAAAGGGGAGGGGCAGAGGGAGGGAGGCAGAGAATCCCAAGCAGGCTCCACGACGTCAGGGCTGAGCCCAACACGAGGCTCAAACTCACAAATGTGAGATCACGACCCGAGCCGGAATCAAGATTCCCACGCTTGACCGTCGGAGCCACCCAGGTGCCCCAATACTATTTATAATCCAAGGGGATTTCATTTACTGCTTGAAGGGCCCAGTCCCCAAATGCAACCCACCTGATGCCTCCAGGACTGTGGTTTCAAACATACCAGGATTTTCTTGGAGAGAAGCCCCAGAAAACTAGAATGTCGTCTCCAGACCAGGCTTTATCTGGATGTGCCCAGCCACCCCTAGACGTCCCCAAAGGGAAAAATAATGGAACGCCTCCACCCTGCAACACGGTGGTGTGATATGACAGGAGAAACCTGTTATGGGGGGACATTCGGGGGGACAGAGTAAGGAGGGATTTGGAGCCTGGGTCACCCCTAGCACCAACCCTTACAAGCTGTGCAAACTTGGCTGGTTACTTAACCTCTTTGTGCCCCTACTTACTCATCTGAAAGGGGGATCTTTATAGATACGGAGCTTTCCTCCCAGGGCTGCTGAAGGACTCAAGGAGGTATAATATGTTGGAATTCAAATCCGCGCCAATGGACATCATCTGTCCTATTCCTGTTATACACCAGAGGCGGTCAGTTCCTCACGAGACATCTCAGCCCTGATTGGAGCCCCTGGGACGGTGGTTTCCCCATCCTGGCTGGTGTGGAATGACCCGGGAGCTTTCAAACCCCCCCCCCCCCAACCCCAGCCCGCACGCTCAGACACGCTCACCGAACTGGCGCAGGTGTGGCTGGGGCATCCAGAGCCCTAAGGCTTCCAGATGATTCCACTCTGCACCCGGGACTGCGAACGGATCCCCCCAGGGCTCCGGGAGATAATCAGACCCCACAGCAGGCCCGTCTCAAGCTGGGCGTGCATCAGAATCATCTGGAAGGCCTTCTAAGACACAGACTGCAGGATCCCAACCCCAAGTCATTCCTTCCGTCTGGGGTGGGCTCAAGGATATGCATCTCTAGCTCCAGCGTTGGCTGATACTGCTGATCTCGGGACCTCCCTTGACGGGCCGCGGCCTGACGTTCAAAGGCCACGTGGAACTTTGGCCCTTTAAGGTCCTGGGCCAGTGGCTGCAGCCTCCGGCGCCCTCCGGGGGAGCCCGCGCCGCGCGCCTTTAACCAGCGGTCCTGGGGCGCCCCCTGGCGGGAGGCGCGGGAGCCGCAGGTCGTGCGGGCTCTCTCCCCTCTGGCGAGGGGTGGGACGTGGGCAGGGGGCGGCGCCGGCCGGCCCCGGAGCCCTCGACCTCCCCTCCGGAAGATGTGGGAGCCGACCCCATTCCCAGGAGTGCCGGGACCCGAGCTGGCCGACGGGGCGGACGGGTCCGGCCCGAGCGTGCGGGCCGAGGTGGGGTCGGGGACGGGGTAAAGGGACACCGCGGCCACGTGGTCTGGAACGGTTCCGCGGTTCCGCGAGGGAGCCCCGGAGGAGGACGAATCCGGGTTCGAGCTCCCTTGCCCCGCCCCGGAGCCTCCCTTTCCTCGTCTGGGAAATGGCAGTGAAAACCTGCCTTCCTCCAATTCCGCCACGCCTGTTCTGTGCGCAGAATCCAATAAGGACGCACACGACGGCCCGAATCTCTCCCCCACCAACTGACCCCGCGGGGACACAAACAGCGCGGGAGGCTGGCCCCGGTGGGGTCCGTGATCCCACGTGAGCGACCGCTAGGCCCGCGCCTCCCGAAGGAGCCTCCCTCGGGCACCGGCCCGCCCCAGCCCTCACCTCTTCGGGTCTTCGCTCAAAGGTCGCCTTGTCAGCGAGGGCTGCCTGGCCCCCCGCCCCCGAACTAGGCGCCGATCGCAAACCCTGCGCCGCGCATGCTCGCCCCGCGGCCTCCCGGTGTCGTGCATCAGCGTGCACTTCTCCGGCAGCGTCTTTTGTCCGTCCCCGGGCCCACGACGCTCCGCGAGGGTCTGCACTTGGCGTGCGTCCTGCCGCCGCACCAGCGCCGAGCACCGGGCCTGGCTCCGGGTCCCGCGCGGCCCGCCCCGTCCCTCCCGCCTCCTCCGGCCGCCACCGAGAGGTGTCCTCGGTGTCCTCGGGGCCGCGGGCCCTCGGGCGCGGGGGAAGGCGGGGGGCGGGGGACGCTCTCCGGGAGCCGCTCGCGCTGCGGCGTGGGCGGCAGGGACGCGGGCCCGGGACTCCCGGGTCTCTCCTTGGGGAAGTCTGCTGCTTGGTGGAACCCTTTAGCGCGGCGACCTGGGCTCCGGGCTGCGGCGGTACCTGCCCCGGGGGCCCTGGGCCACCTGCCCTGTCCTTCTGCACTTTGGCCCGCGATGGCCGCATCACCCATTCCCCCACGAACCGCCCCCCCACACACACACACAGATACAGTCAGTGGGTCATCAGGAAACACGTGGGTGTGGCAGGTGGCTGTCAGAGCTCTGAAAAAGGGGGCATGTGAGGGGAGGGTTACATTTTTCGCAGGGTGGTCAGGGAAGCCCTCCCTGGGACAGGGACAGTTGAACAAAGGCTGGAATGAAGTGAAGGATGGAGCCGTGCAAACATCCTGGGGAGAAGCACTCCAGGCCACGGGGGGGGGGGGGGGGGGCAGCAGGTGCAAAGGCCCTGAGGCAGGAATAAGCCCCAAATATTAATCTGTGGGGACAAAGAAAAACTCTAAAGGGTTTGGGGAAGGGAGACACCGAATCACACATCAGACTGATCTAAAAGGGCCCCTCTGTGCCCTGTAGCCATGTATGGATGAGGACTCCGAAGGGAGGCAGGACCCCCAGGGAGGAGTGGAGATAGTTCCCCTCAGTCTGGGTCCATGGCAGATCTATGGCACAAGGGCCAGGACACAGGCCTTGAGCTGAAGCGTGGGAGTTGGGTGCTGGGCATAGACAGCAACAGGCCACAGAGCAGAGTGAAGCATCCACCCTGAGGTGGGAGGTGGAGAAGGAGGCCAGGAGTGGGGGCAGAGAAAAGTCGAAGCATGGCAGGATTTATACGGCTGCAGTTAGGCCAGGGGCCTGGGTGGCGGTACGGCCACGGAAGGACACTGGGGGCAAAGCAGTGACGGGGCAGTCCCAGGGTGGTGACCCAACCTCAGACACTCCCCTCCCCCTTCGTCCAGAGCACATTGAGACCAGACCAGAAGGCTCCATTCGCTTTCCTGAGGGGCCCCAGGGGACAGGGGCTCCAGGAGAGGAGCCCAGAGATGCTCCGCCCTCCTGCCCCGCCCCCAGGCGGCTGCAGAGGCCACTCAGACCGGGGCCATCGCCCCCTGGGAGGACGGGCTTCCTCCCCAGCCCCAGGGCATCCTGACTGCTGCCAGGTGATCTCAGTCACTGTCCCATGGAGGTCCCTGCAGCCCTGAGGGAGACTCCTTCCCGTGCAACTGAAGCATTCTGGGGTCCCGAGGTGGGGGTGGGACAGTGCAGTCCGGCCGTGGGGACACCCCCAGCCCCCTGTGCCTTCCTGGAGACGTGGAGGGAGGGCCCTCCTGGCACGATGGGCCCGTCACCGCCTGGGGACTGGAACTGTGGCCCAGGCACACACGCAGCCCCAGGACGAGGGGACGAGAAACAGCAGCCAGCCCAGAACGAGGGTCCGCTTCCCCACCCAGACACCGCCGGGCGCCGAAGCAGCTACGCGGGGACAGCAGGTGCTGACCGGACAGCGCGGAGCCGAGAGCCTGGGGGATCAGGGCTGGGCTGCAGCTCCCTCCTGGGGACATTCCGTCCTCTCAACACAAGACCCTGGGCGGCTCCTGCACTGGCTGGACTGGCCCTGCCCCCTCAGGCGCCGCCTCAGGCTCCTTCCCGTGTTTCAGTCACTCAGAGAGAGAAACGGGGACCCTTCATCCTCTTACGCCGGGGCTGCAAGGCCAGCGCCCAGGGGTCGGTCAGCCCACGGGACCCGAGGAAGGGGACAGCTGTAGGGACAAGGGGGATGGGGGGTGAGGGGACCCCAGGCCTGTCGGAAGTGTGTGTGATCTCCCCAGAGGTGCAAATTTTGGCCAATAATGGAGATGTCCGGGAATCCCTGGGAGGCCTGAGTGGCAGATTCAGCCCCGGACGGTGGCAGGTGGCCGGCCTTGGCCTTGAGGAGCTGGGTCCCTTGTCTCAGCTGTGGCTGAGGGGGGCAGGGCTGCTGCCCTTTCCCTTTCTTCCTCCTCCTCCCCCCCTGCCCCCACCCTTCCCACCCCTCCTCTCTCCCCTCCCCCAGGGGCTGCCCCCACCTCCCCTCACATTCCTCTTTCTGGAATCATCTCCTCCCCCAAGCAGGGAGGACCAGCCTTCAGGCCTCGGCTACACGTGGGGAGAGTGGGTGTCAACCCACTGCCCAGCTGGGTGGCGGGGACTCCATCCCAGATCCCAGGCCCCCGTGAGACTGGCTGGACTGGGGGGACAGTGGCCCACAGACGCTGGCCAGAAGCAGGTCTCCGGAACCCTGGGGGCCTCACGGAGAGCCAGAAGGAACTCTCTGGCATGGCTGGCCTCCCCACTGCCCCATGTCCCCCCGCTGTCACCTCCCCCCCCCCATGCTAACCGGGTGCCACCTGGCTGGGTGGCCCGAGACACCGGCCCATCACCTGGGGCTGCTGCCTTCCGGAGGGGCCGAATCTCTCTCCTTCTTCCCTGGGGATCATCCCGCCACCTGCAAAGGAGGGACAGAGAGGGACCCGGGAGGCCGGCGGCGGGTGGCTCAGCAGAGCGCGGGTCCCAGGGTGAAGCCGGGAGGCCGCCTCTGTCGCAGGGCGTCGGGGGAGGGGGTTGCCGAGATGGGGGGGGGGGTGAGGCCGCGCGTCTCCGGGTTCCCCTAGCGGCGCTGGGGGGGTCAGTCTCTGGCCGCCACGACCCTTCTCACTAGCGGCCGACTTGGAGACGGGGTGGGGGAGGGTGAGCAGCTGACCCCTGGCCTCGCCGGCCTCCGCAAGGGCCCCGGCGCCCCTGCTTTTCCCGGTTCACCGCCTTCCCCTCGGGAGCGACGCCAGCCCCACCCCACCCCACCCCCACCCTGCCGCGGCCTCCGCCTCCGCCTCCCCTGCCCCCACCCCGGCTCCTGCCCGAGCCCGACGGGGCGGCGCTCGCTTGGCCCGCGGCCTCCTGGACGCCCCGGCCTCGGGCCCCGACTCCCCGCTCCCCGCGGCCTCCGGCGCCGCCTCCGAGCCCGCGCCCGGCTCGCCTCCCGCGCGCCCGCACCTCCCTCCTTCCCAGGCGCCTTCCTTGGCGTCGCTCGTCAGCCCCGCCGGGTCCCCGCGCCCGTGGAGGGGGGCTCGGGCTCGGCCAGGCTGGAAATGCGCTCCCGGCGTCCACCCGGCGGCCCGCCTCGTCCACCTTCTCGCGGGCTCCCCGAGTGTCCCGGCGCCGGACGGGCAAGACCGCGGGGAGGGCCTCTGTCTGGCCTCGCTTGTCGCTCCAGCCCAGTGACTCCATCACCCAAGCGACTTTCAGCATGTCCCCTCCCCGCCACGGGCCCACCGGGCCCGCGGGTCCGCACAGGCCGCCATGGCCACAAACTCGGGACTGTCCACCCTCTCGTCTCCTGCCTCCCCGTTTCGCTGTGACTGGCTTTCGGGAGCGTCGCTGTCCCTGGGCTCCTGCTGCCACGCGTCTCTCACCGCCAGCAGGGCCGCTAAAGCCGGGCCGCGCCCCCCTGGGCGCCGGGCTTCTCCCCTGTGGAGGCTGAGGGCCTCGCCCCTTGGGGCTCTGCCTCCGCCCGCTCCTGCTTGGCTTTGTCCGTCCCCGTCACCAGGGCCAAGAACTCGCGGGGACCCGCTCCTCCGCCCGCGTCGCTCTGCAGGGGCCACTCCTTCTTCCTGAGCTGCTTGGCGGCCTCCTGGAGCGGGCGTGGAGCGCTCAGGTCGTCCTGGGCTAGCTCCTGGATCACCATCCCCAGAGAGTCGTCGGACTCCCGCCTGGCTCTCTCTCCTGGCCCTTCTGGGCCCACCTACCTGTTGCCTCTGGCTGTGTTTCTGCGAGCCCGGCGGCCCTTCCCTGGAGGGAGCCGGCCTTCCTGGGGGCGGGCCCTGAGCCCTGGGCCTGGGTCTCCGAAGCCAAGCGGGAGAGGGGGGCGTGTCCCCGGGGCCTGCAGGGCCTGGGGCCTGCCTCCGAGGGCCCCTCATCCAGCAGCAGGCCTTTCATCTGCCTCAGGACCCTTGTGTCCTCCGCGCGGTCGTGACACAGAACCCTCCGGACGCCGCCCTTGCCCGGGATCTGTCTGGGCACGGAGGCGTGATTTATGGCCTCCGCAAACTCCACCGGGCGGCCTCGGCCTTCTGGTCCCTCCTGGCCCTAGTGTTGCACAGCCTGCACGTGCCGGGGCGGGGGTGGGTGGGCAGGAAGGCCGGCTGCAAGACGGCTTCGACGGCCGCCTCCTCCAGGCCCCCCGGGGTGCCGGTGACCAGTAGGGCCCCGTGCATGTCCGCGCGCAGCCCCCTGCCCCAGTGGCGCAAAGCCTCGCGCCCATGGTGCCTCCTGCCCACGGGCACAGATCGCCGGGCGGGGGGAAGCCCGCAGCGGACTCGGGCTGGGGCGCCCTGTGCAAATCCGGCCCTGGAACAGCGCTGCAGGCCTTGGGGTTCAGGTTCCAGCGAATGTGGCAAGGCTGAGAGCTGGGGGTCTCGGGGCTCCCTCTGCCTCTAGCCGGCTGATGCGGCGGCCTTTCTGA